CTGTGTTAAACTGATCAAAACATGTATTTATTCATTATTAAACCCAAACAAAGAGTGAAGCGTGTACAATATAGTAGATTATATGGAGCAGAGAGAAGCAGTGAACAGCACTTAACAGAACATCTCCATTACAAAACACCAGGACCAGCTTCTTCAATCTCTGAGGAGGAGCTTAAGGTCTGTTTGAGGTTTGAGGATGCATGATGGTGGAGAACAGCCAGGTCAGTGTCCACCAGGCAGCCGCAGTATAATGCAGATGATGGCTTTTTCCTTGATCCCATGGTCAGAAAACTTGTCTGAGTCGTTCAGTTGCTTATTAGTGTAAAGCAGCCGCAGTGAAGACAGGTCTGGGAGGATCAACAGCAGCTAAATATTAATTTAGTGCATCAATAACACCAGCCCAATCATAATACCATAACTGTCAATGTTTAAAAATGAGAATTATACATCACCTGAATATGTGTGTAATTATGTATATCTTTAAGTGATGGACTAATACAATATCTGATATACAACACTAGACTATTTGACCATCTGGAATCTGAAAGTTCAAAAACATTCTGGAATATCGCTAGAGGTGATAAACTTTAATGCACATTACTAATAAATGATTGAATTTAGATACATCAAGTTACACTAAATTTTGGCATTACAGAAATTTCAAAAACAAAACAGTTTTGGTTATTAATGCAACTGGTCATAACAGTGTCATATCTCATATGATCCAGCTCTGAGTCTTGTCTGTTATTTCTGTATGTGCTGTACACACCTGATGCCTCCTGTGGAAGTTTTTCCGCCAGTTTCTTCTTAAATTCCGCCACAGTTGTGTTATTGAACTCTTCCTCCGAGCTGCTCACGTCTATCACCTTCCTCTCGCCCTGCATGCCGATCACTGTCACCTGGTAGATCTTCCCCATCTCTCCAGTATTACCTCCAGTACATTCACGATCCTGCAGGCTGGAGTTACAAAGTTAAAGAGTTTCTTATTGAAGAAGTATCGTCGAAACTACAAACACTAATTAGCCCGATCAGGCACTGAGGAGGACAGGCCGGTAGGGGGAGAGAGAGACACCTCTACGGGCTTTACGGACGTCGTTTCTCAGAAGCGCCTTCAAAACAGAAAGCGAGAGAGAGAGAGGAGCTTTCATCAAGACACTCGGATGTGGTCTTCTTTCTCTTGGTTTCTCCCCCAAACGAAAACCCATCGCGCGAGCAACAGAGCTATATATCACTTTCTCTCTCTCACTGTGCAGAAGAGCTGATCCTGGACCTGATGGAGCAGCAGAGCAGCGGGCAGTACGACGTCAATGACGCGACGCTGAAGTTCGTCAAACGGAGAGACGATATCAGTGAGTTCTCCATCCCTGCAGCACAGATCGACTGAATAAGCGCCCTGATTATACTAATACAGCGATATATTCACACACACGACACCTTCCTGAATGCTATAGGGTGTTATAATTAAACAAACTTTAATAAGATGTACACAAAATGTACAACAATTACACAAGAGTCAGCAGTGTTAATGGGGAAAGTTGCTTTGGGCAGTAATGCACTACTGTACTGAGTTACTCCCTGAAATGGAGCTGGTCCTGTTACTCAGTTACTCTTCATTGTAAGTAATGCGGTACGTTACTTTTGTGTTAGGACCGGCTGGGGTTTGACGTCTTTCTGTTTTTTTTATTCTCTATTTTTTTTTCAATAGAGGAGCTCTGCAATGACCAACACACTGAATAACCTTCATTTACCTGTAAAAACACGTCAATAATAATAATGTAGAGTAATGTTATCACCCGAGAGCTCCAGAGCTCTACAGGCCGTATATACAGGTAATAAAAGTGAATTAATTGTTGTTCTCTCAGCTTTAGATGATGACCCGGATGTTCTGAGAGCAGAGATGTCCTGTGGTCATGCGGTGTCGCCGCAGTCCCTGACCGCCTGGTGTCGCGGCTTGCTGGATCAGGTCTGAAACTGCAGAATCTTTAAACCCTTGACAAGCATTGAAGAGTTTGTGACGTTTAAAACTGCTGAGTTGTTTCAATCAAACGTTAGTTTCAATATGGGCAAACCAAACGTTCATTCATTCATTCATTTTCTTTTCGGCAACCCATCTCTGGGAAACATCCACACACACTCATACACTACGGACAATTTAGCCCACCCAATTCACCTGTACTGCAAGTCTTTAGACTGTGGAGGAAACTGGAGCACCTGGAGGAAACCCATGCGAACGCAGGGAGAACATGCAAACTCCAGAGCTCAGCATCGAGAAGCTTTTCCTTTCACTAGATAAGCACAGCACCACTCCTGTCCCTGTAAGCATTTCTGCTCTATTCTGTTTTCTAACAGGGTCAGTATAAATTTCATTGTCCAGCAATTACTCATGGGACACAGAAATGCGGTGCCGAGTGGCCGTACCTGGAGGTGCGCAAGCTGGCTGTGCTCAGCGATGCAGAACAGGTCCATTTCGAGGAGAACATGGCTCTTCTGGCGGCCGTCGAGTACTGCGAGTTCAAATCGGTGAGTGTGAATGACTCTACTAATAATAGAATTAGTCTAATGAATTGCACAGCTCATGACCTCTTCTGGTCTGTCTCTCTGTAAGTGTCCGAGCTGCGAGTCCTACGTGGAGCGAGCAGACTTGAGTAACCTGTGTGTGAAGTGCACCATCTGTACCGCGGTAAAGCAGAGGATCTTCCTGTTCTGCTGGCAGTGTCTGCGCGAGTGGAAAGGGCCGGCCGGTCACGCTCTCCGCTGCAGCTATGAGGACTGCGTCCACCCCGACATCCACAAGCTGGAGCAGTGTCAGAACATGCGGCTGCCGTATGTGCACAATGTGGAGTGTCCTGCGATCCGTGCGCTCCTGCTGGAACATAACGGGTTCGCCTGTAAAAACCTGCTGTGCAAACGCTGTAAGGTGGAGTTCTGCTTCCTCTGCCTGAAGCTGAAGCGTGTGTGCAATCCCGTCAGCGGCCCGTACGAGGTGTGCTCCGTCGTGGCCCGTCAGACAGAGATCCCGGTGAGGAGGAGATAATGTGGAGGAAACATGATTGGCTAACAGTGTTGGGAGAAAAGTAAGGTGATATACAAACTTAAAAAGATTATTCACATTCAAAACTTACAATTCTGCATAATTGTCTTGAGTTGAACTTGATAAACTTTCCTTATTCTGCTGAACCCTGAAGGTTAGAAGAGTTCCGCTTCAGTGCTGAACAGAATAAAGAAACTCCAGGGGTAATGGACACTTTAGGATTCACTATAGTGTCAGCTCTGCCTGACAGACCAATCAAAAATAACAGCACATGCAGTCAAGATACTAAAGTTAGAGCATGTGTGTGTTGTTATTATTCTTATAAAGATTAAAATGGGTCAGATTGGAATATATTACTTTTTTACCCCACACTGTTAGTTAAGATGGAACAGGTTTAACTCACTTTGTAAACATCCGGGAAATTGTAAATGCTCGCAGGCTAAAGCTACTACAAAAAAGTTTCTATTTTTCCTTTGTGTTTGAGGCGGGATGCGCTGCTGTTGTCTGTTTTCATGCTACGATACTGTTCCTGACATTCCACATCCAAGTGTTTAATGTTCAGATGTTCCACAATCACAATGCTCCACATGTTCTGATGTTCAGAATAACCAAGTTTACATGTTCACCGATTGTGTTGAGTGTATAAGAGCCAGATTTGTTCTGATGTTTTAGGGTATGTGAGATTGAGCAAACATGATAGTGTCTGTTTTTATCCAACAATACTAAATAAAAACCAAAGTTAAAGCTCGAGATGATGCTCAGAATATACCGAGAGCAGAAGCAGAGCCGGAGCTTACTGAGGGAACACACACTCCAGCGTCAGTCAATGAAGACGGAGATCAGTTTGAGAAACAGTGTGAGAAAACATTTAATGAACTCCACAGCTACAGAAATGACCACCCACACACACACACACACACACACACACACACACACACACACACACACACACACACACACACACACACACACACACACACACACACACACACACACACACACACACACACACACACACACACACACACACACACACACCAACGCTGCTCTGTGTGTGAGAGAGAACAGCTCTTCTGCATCACACACACACACACACACACACACAGCGCTGCCACTTCACCATTCCTCCATCAACACTAGAAGCTCCTCTGGGTCTCACAGAACGAACAGCTTTATAAGATCAGTCAGATGAAGGAGGCAGAAGAGGAGGAGGAGGAAGAGGAAGAGGAGGAGGACACAATCTTTGGTTTTCATCCTGAACAGGAGTTCTGCTTTGGGACTCACTGAATAAACTCTTCACACACACTTCTATATATATACTCTAACATGGTGTGTGTCAGAACAGATGATTGAGGAGAACAGAGGAGCAGCACACACACACACACACACACACACACACACACACCAGTCTTTGGCTTCAGAAACAGTAGTGAACACTAACGCTGAGTGTGAGGAGAGTAAAAACCTGACAGAAACTAACAGCACACACACACACACACACACACACAGGTGTAGATGAGGAAGCGTTGTGGGGACAGTGGTGTGTCCTGCCGCATGGTTCCTCAGTAAGGTAAAGCTTCTAACCGTCTTTATAAAGTGTCGTGGAGCTCACACTCCTGCAGACCCTCCAGCTGAACATCACACGCTTTTGGTTATAAATCTGCACTCGGCTCGTCTCAGAGCCGCTAATAAAAACACAAACCCTCGTATAAAGTCAATATAAACTCTGTTAGGTCAAATATTCTCTGGTAAAGATCAGCGGCGCTGGAAAAGAGTCTGGTATTTGGTTAATTCAGGTGTTAGTCTGAGAGTCCAGCCCGGCGGCGGCGGCGTCAGCCCTGCGCTCACAGTGTTTTTGGTAACAGCAACAGGATTGGGGGCGGAGCCGCACACGCTCACTGAGCCTTCGAGGCCAGGGCCACGCCCTTAGTCGTTGTGGCAACAAGATTCTGCTGCACATCACTGGTCAGGTGCAGGTTGAGAGCTCCGCCTCCAGCCCCGCCTGCTGACAGGAAATTGGCCGGCAGCAAAGAAAGGCCGGATGGATTAAGGAAAAAGGGCGTGGTCACCAGGCTGGGGGTGGAGTTTGCTGCGCTGGTGTTGGCGAAGAGCAGGCTGGTGTTCCCATCAATAGACGTCAGGGGGAAAGCACCGCCTGACGCAAGAGCTGCAAACACACACACACACACACACACACAGTTAATTTACATAAACACTACAGCACTGTATGATTGTAGTGTGTGTTATTATAATGTATGATCATGCCAATGCGACACACAGACGCGCTCTCCTACCCTGAATAGTGGCCAGAGCGTTATTGTTCATCAGCGCAGGACTCAGTGTGTTTCCCAGAGCAGGAGCCAGGCTCAGCAGCGCCCCCCTGTGCACACACACACACGCACACACACAAATATATAACTATATTACAATGAATTTGATAACCAATGATATTTTACGTGGGGGGGGGGTTCATTACAGCATGTGACCTAAAAAAACATCAGATCATCACAAAACTGCAGACTTAACTCAGTGCGTCTCCCAGAGCAGAAGTCAAATACACACACACACACACACACACACACATACACACACACACACACACACACACACACACACACACACACACACACACACACACACACACACACTCACCCTTGTGCCAGCTGTGACGGTGTGATGATGGTGGGGTTCAAACCCGTAGCGAATGTAGTCAGATTGGCTCCACCCAGTCCTGCGCCCGTCACCAGCAACGGCCCCGCCCCCTGTGTGAGTGTGGCAGCAGAGGAAGTGGCAGCGCGTATTTCCTGTTTACCAGCGGAGGCGGAGGAGCTCGGGGTCTGCGAGGTCACAGCAGGTGCAGGCGTGGCGATGGCGGGCGCCATGGAGATGACTGAGGGCGTGTTGGAGGTCACATGACCCAGAGCACCCCCTACAGCACAAAGAGTCACATGACCACAGCACAGAACCACTCTCCAGCCTCGATGTGCGAAACAACAATCATTCTTCTGAAGAGCTACAATGCTTTCAACAGCATCGTGTTGTGGAACTGCCATAAGCATTCTGCTATATGCTGTATGGTTGCTAGGCTGCACTAAATTGTTGCTAGGGTGTGATTGATAGTTAATGGTGATACTTAAAAACACTGAAACAAAAGAGCACACCCTCATCTCTATTAGATGCTCTGGTGCAGAGACATGACTAAATCCATCTGATTTTATGGTTGCTAGGGTATTCTAAATGGTTGCTAGGGTAAAGAATTGCAGATTATGAGGTGAAGCTCCCCATTTTTACCAGTCTAAAGTGTTCAATCCCAGTCTTCTACAGTGTTCCTGTGCTGAATTATTGTTGTGTTTTGGTTGCTAGGGGGCTGTAAGTGGTTGCTAGGGTGTGATGACCAAGTCAATATGTCACAATATGTGTGAAATGAGCCCACACCCAAATGACGTTCTGATCCAAAGATCTGATGTCAAACAGTTCGCTTCAATGTTAAGTCATTGGGGTTTCTGAGTGTATATATTTGCCCCCCGCAGGGCCGTTTTACCCCCGACCCCTTAGAAAAGACATAGCCCAGCTCTCCTCAGTGACCCGCTCGATTAGAGCCCTCACTCAAGGGTCTCTGCCAAACAGTGTGGGACTAGTTACGCTCTGAACTTCTAGAAGATGCAGATTCTCGCGCAGATTAGCTAGCGGTGTTTGCTAGTCAGTGAGCATTCAGACAAGCAGAGCTGCAGCAGAGAGAGAGAGAGAGAGACGCACCGCTGAGCGTGAGGTTCGAGAGGCCGCTGGAGCTCAGAGGAACCACAGGATTCACCGTCAGTGTGTTCGAGCCGCTGGACACCTGAACACACACACACACACACACACACACACACACACACACACACACACACACACACACACACACACACACACACACACACACACACACACACACACACACACACATACAATTATTACAAACAGGAATCATCAAACATGATCAAACAGAGCGAGTGTTCAGGCAGTTACTCGAGTTTCTTCATATCGATAACCAATCACTGATCAATAAGTCCATCAATCAGGGTTTCTTTAAATGCAGGAATGCTCATCTGAATTTAAATAAGTGTATATGCAGGAGTGTGTGTGTGTGTGTGAGTGTGTGTGTGCGCCCACCGCTGCAGTCTGTGTGCTGTAGATGGTCTTGATGGCGGATGCAGGAGACGCTGCGCTGCTGCTGGGTGGATAGATCCGCTTCTCCTTCTGCCGGCGGTTGCAGAGCCACACACGCACCACCTCCTTCTCCATGCTGAGCTGATCCGCAATCAGTGTGATCTCCTCCGAGGACGGCTTCTGGCTCTGCTGCAGGTCACACACACACAGGCAGGCATCAAACACACAAATACACACTTTCATACCACAGGTCTGCTGAGTGCTGGATTCTGATTGGCTGATGGTCACACTCAGGTGTTTGGTTATTGTCAGATAAAGGC